ACATACATATACGTATCAAATACGCACTAAAAGAAACGAAGCACACACACAATGAATGAACAACGGCATGCAAGCGCACGCGAACAACTAACGAAGCAACTGACCTCATACGCGTCCTTGAACCACGGATGTGTTTGTGTAGGGAACAGGATGAGCGAGATAAAACAAACAGCCCATGATGCATTGGTGAAACAGGGATGAACAATATATGTGGGGTTTGTGTGATAAGTAGGAGCAAACAACGATTGCATGAAATGACTGCAAACTCATCAGCCCTGAGTTAGCCTTACTCCTGGGAAACAACCACGTGAGCGATGTGCAATGCAGGCCTGAAAGCGCCGATCGGCGAAAGAGTTGATAGATGGGATAGATGACAATACCCTAAAATCAGAGGACTGAGTCAATAATCTGATACCTGTTTGCCAATGACCGTTAGAACAATCTACGGTGATCGAAGAGCGAAGTTTTTGACAGAACCAATGGAATAGATACCGGGTTATTCAGTGTTCTAAACAATGAGGATGCTATCCGGAAGATATAACCTCTTCGCAAATCACATGCGATTATGGCCCAAAGCTGCAAGCAAGAGTCTGTGCCTTACTTTTTGCAGATCGAAGGCTTTGCGGATTGCAGTAGTGAATCAATTTTAGTTGGTTTTGTCTACCATCTTCAAGTAAGTCAGCCCGATGATTGTGTTGATAGATGGGCGGTCAAACTACCTGTTGTTGACTTTATTGGCAACATGGAATCTCCATCTGATGAGCACAATCTTAGGTTTATCGCAAGATGGCCTGGTTGTGCATCCGCAATCTCAGTCTTTGTCAGTCTCTTCGATATCACTCCCCCCCCAGAACTTCCAATCTGAAAAATTTTGAAGGTATTTGGACCAAATCATATGGACAGAGGCATTTGGTATTTTCGCAAACCTAATGCCTGCTTGGCCGTTGCAACGTGATAGTAATACAGCAGGCGTCTTCGATATGAGAAATCTTCTCCGGAGATGCTTTAGAATATGGGCACCTTGGGTGCGCTGCTTAGTTTCTGGTCTACAGTTCGAGGGTGGTGAGCATTTCGTCACCGATCGTTACTCAAGCATTGACCACGTCTTCTCGCTTGGTGACGAAACGCTTGCAGTCTGATTGCCAAGCTCGACGAACAGATCAACAAGAGAACTGCTTTGAATCTTACCTCCACGTCTATGGACGCAAAGACTCGGTTTCTGTGTGGCCATAATCATAGTCTTAAAGGATCAGCGAGTTGTCACGACCGCTTTGAAGGACGAGCTGATGCCATCAACTGATTGGAGGGAATCGAATGTTTGACGATCACAGCACAAAAATCTTATTCCGGTCCGCATGATCCATCGCATTTTGCTACGAGGCATTCGCTCAGTCTTCTCGATATAAAATTCACCACAACCACAGGCGAGTGAATAGATGCAATTTGAGGTCGAGAGTACTTCTTGAGACGTTTTGGTCGCTCACGACAACAGCGTCCAACGTGATAAGTCTGTTACCTGCTAGTTGTTTACCCTTTTGACTAATGTCACAAACTGCCTGGCCATATTCACTTCAGTTGAGGACTCCCGACAGTGTATAAAATGTCCGCCTGCATCCCACGTACCATACGTTTGTGGTTAGTATGAGAGTGCCATGTGGCGCATCATCGAGGATTGATACGACCATAGCACATTATTAGTATTTGTGTGGTTTAGAAAGGTCTCCCCAGTTGTGTGCTCATGCGCGATGCTTACCCATATGCAACTAACACGGAATTAACTGATACACTGGAATCAGGCGATTGAATGATGACACTGATTATTGTTGAAAAATGAGAAAAACCCAATTAATGTGGGATCCATGAGAGCAATCTTGCAACACTATTGAATCTGCATTCAGTTCGCAGAGTTATACAAAAAATCGTCACCTCATTGGGAGGGTGGTTGCTCCAGAGAAAGAGGCAGTGTGTGTGTGTCACACTACGTCCTTCGGGGTCCTCAACCATCTAGTGATAGTGAAATAGATAACAGGAAAACGCTCAGGAACATTGACTCCAAGTATGGTGGCAGACAGAACCCAAAAGCTCTTGTGGATCGTAACAACTGGTGTAATGGGTCTGGGACCTGGTATGAGTAAAGACGTGTATGAGTAAAGACGACGGCTTAATAGTGAAGATTCCGTCTGTTGTGGCTACCCTTGGTCGATTCACGAAATCGCATTGGAAATGAAGAAATAGGGATAACGTACGGGGATCATGAGATTCCAGTGCGTTAGGGACTGTTGAATTGGAGTGGATAGCAGGCGGACCTGGGTGAGCTGAGACTGATCGAGTGGAGATATTTTGGGATGCGGATGATAAGGTGGCAACCGTACGTGTGGGTGGAGTCGGACGTTCTGTAGACGGTCCCGAAGGGCGGGTAGAGATGTTCTGTGCAGGCTGTTGTTGAGTGTACCGAGTCATCGCAACGACCTGTATAGGTAAGTAATGCGAACAAATATGAAAGTTGTAACCGGTGACACAAGCATCTAACAGTACCAACTACAGGGTTCGTATGCAGAAGTAACGAACCGAATCAGCTAAAAACTGCGGCGTACCTGGTGATAGGAAGGTGGAGCAGGGCGTTGGGTAGATCTGGTGGATGGCAGCGGTTGCGAAGAGCCTCGAGACTGTCCATCTGAAGGTTCTGTGTTCACATCTATTGCTGGACGTGGTGCTCCTGGTGGATGATATGGCTGTCGAGGGGGGTTCCTCCGACTGCGCACTAAGTCAACAGATTCCTGCCGTGGAGGCATTCCATGCCGCGAATAAGTTTGGGGAGTATCACTGCTAGATCCTCGAGTAAGAGGAGTTTGCTGGCGACGTGAGTTTGTTTCGGACGTGGAGGCTTGAGATGAAAAAAAACAATGGCTTTTAGCAAGGAACATGCGGTAACAATTTTAGTGTAAATGTTACCAATGGATAAAGTACGGCAGGGGATGTAAGTAGGAAAGGAATAGCAGTAAGAGAAGACGAGTTGCTACAAAAACCCGACAACCATGAGAAACATTCTTTCTAAATGAAAAGTTCAAGTATAATCTGTACGTAAGGATCCAGCAGGGGCTGCTCCGTCGATTTTCACAGAAGCACATCAAAACATAGTGAATATGTAGCGCGAAGCACTTCTAAACACGCAAAAGGGGTCACGGGCTACAGCTGATTGCTCTGGCCTAATCAGCGTACGCTAGTTAGTTGAATGTCACCAGCTAGTGTGCTCCACTGCCTGGCTGACCGGGGTCAGCTGAATGAATAGAATGGACAGAGTATGCCTCACAATCGGTGGGGTGAGTAAATAATGCAAAAACTGACTGTCACGGTCAATAACTAAGATAAGAAGCACCAACCTAGGCATCAGTCGATTACCACTGGGGCTCCACCACAGAGATACTAAAAACGAAACCAAGTGCTAGCTAGGTGGTGTCAGGAAGGATGCATCAACCGACGTTGTATGCACCACACAGTAAAACAGATGAAAGTATTGCGCACCGAATAATTCTCCATACATACCTGTGACAAAACTATCCATGTTTTTTATCCCGATACAAAACCCAGGCATAATGCCAGAGTAATTTCAAATTAACACAGGAAAGGTTTGATAATCATCCAGAGACTCATTCAATCAGTTCAGGCGGACCATAATGAACGAGAGAGCCAGCTGGATTCAGTTGAGAGCTGGATTCAGTTGCGAAATCTGCCCAAACCAAATTCGTGGGCACATGAGAGTATTTGTCGAAATCTGCCCAATTTGGGTTCAAAGAGAACCCAAGAAAATAGGAACCCATCATGGGCTGTCGGAGAGTTTTCAGTGACCTTACGAGTAGTGTGTTACGTTGAGATATGACATGGTTTACGATGATACATTTTAGATTCCTATCGGAGTACTAAAATACTGTCGGTAGCATTTCGATTCGAAGCTCGCTTTCCATTGGGCTTGTCTCAATTGACACAAAGTCTCAAGGTGAGAAAAGTTCTGGTGTACCTCACGACTTTATTTTCTGCACAAGAGGAGCAGCGGAATTATCCATGCTGGTGTTGAAGCTCACGGATCACACACGCGTAGATAAACCAAAAAAAATCATAAGAAGAAACAAAATGTCTGAAGGTAACGATGGGAGGGTTATCGTCGGAACACTGTTGACCAACTGCCCAGAACCGACCCAGACTCCAGCCCCAGTCAGGCGAACGGGTAGGTGGGTCGATCCCATAAAAACTACGAACACAGACTACAAGTTATCCAAAAATGAAACTCGGAGCCGGATTTGAAGGTACAGGAGTAACCAATAGGTTGAACAGGTGTGTGGAGAGAGGGCAGTGGTCCCGCTGATTGGTATCGGAACCAGTCCCAGTTGGAAACCTCAGACCGCAAGTAGTTCAGGTACAGTTCAACAGAATGAGCCACAGACAGGTGAAGTGCGAGCATAAGAAGCGTTTTGATACACTGAATGTCTTAACTCGAGGTTCTGACTGCCGTTCGGTGCTTTCAGTTTAGGAATGACCGGCAAAACCCGGCAAACTCTTTTCTGTAACCAGTTGGTGGGTTTGAAGGCTGCCTTATGATTGACAATACTGGAATCTGATCATCAAACGTTTCGAGATGTGACTGTTCAGTTTGGACAATCTACGCACAGTGTTCACGCAATATATATGTATATATACTGAAAAAAGCTCTTTGCAGGAAATTAAGTGAATTGCAAAGAAGTTCAGTAAAACGATCCGGGTTATAACAAGTACCTGACAGATAAGAATCTAGGCTAGTCCAGTCTTCCAACAAGAAAACGGAATGGAGACTTCAACAAAAAAGGGAGTATGCCCTAATGAAGACCGAGAAACTCAACACTAGACGGAGTGCTGTTAGGATGAACAAAATGACAGAAAAAAAACAACGGGCTAGCGTCTGAAAGACATCAGGAGTCTTGAAAGTTTAGGACATCAGCGCAGGAATACGACCTTGACAATCAGTTTTCATAGTAAAACGTACAGGCAATGCGTAAGGGAGACGCATAGACAATGTCGCCTCTGTTCCGTATTATTTATGGACCATATCAACACCAGATACAAAAGAATGTTACATAAAATGAATCAGTATAGATGGCGTTAAAATAAACAAGTGCAACTAAAGGGATGCAATTTCGCCGGAAATATAGTCCAGCCATACAAGTTTGTACGATTCTCTGAAAGTTGGAAAGCAGTGGAAAAGATGTGATACGATACGATATGAAACAACAAAGACGTAGTTGCATACAACCACCGGAGAGGACTCACACTGGCGTCGTTGCTGTTCATCCGTTGATCGTGAGCCCATCTTGATCTGGGATTGTTGCTGTTGTCTGAGCGCCAAGGCCAGCTCGTACGGAGGCGGGCGATTTGGTTTCCAATCCATGGCTAGACGGAAAAAAGGTTCCACGTAAGTGATAAAGAGTTAGGAAGTTAGCAAATCTAGTATGACAAAAGTCGGTGTGACCTACTCTGACCGTTTCGACCGATAGGGACCTGTCTGTGGTGTTGTGAAGCGTTGACATAGGGATTCATATTTGCAGTAGGGTAATAGTAGCTCTCGTCAGAGTTGGAATATTGGGTGCGCATATTCACTGGGACACTTTTCACGACATGAACTCCACCATTGGGGGTAAAATGTGCGAAAGGAGTTGGACCACCGACTGCCTGAGATTTAGCTTGGGGGCTACACCGATGAACTACTCCGCCTGAGGAGGTGTAGGTGTTGACAAGCTGCGAACTTGGCTTTTGTCGAACTGAAGTAGCAGGCGGTGTGGCATACAGAGTCTTATCTGATGTTGGACGTGTGTTTTGAACGGGGTGCATTTGTGAGATGGGCTGAAGGAGAAACAAAGGAGGACACTGATAGCGAGCAGCGCTGATTGGTGCACCGGTCTGGTACTTGTTAACAAAAATGGATGGAAGAAGTTGCCGCTATGGTCCTGAAAAAGAAGAGTTCATAGTTCATGATTTATAAAAGAGGCTGCCACAGTTTTTGGGTCTATTGATGAGCCACTAAAACGACTACCGATGGTTTCATCAGCAAGATCGGTGGGAGAAGTGTTGCGGATATCTTGACCGACGAAGTGAGATACTGTTACCGACAGCTGCAAGCGTAACTTGAGGTCACAATACGTCGATAACAAATAGGTTTTGTCTTAGAATTACGCATGATCGTCAAACAGAGTTGATGGATTCACAGAACTGATCGCGGATAAGCAATTGAACTTCCAGCATGCGCGGCTTGCGCTAATACACCTGCCTCAATGAAAAAAAAACCAGAGTTCGATCTTAGATGCGGTCAAGCATCGAAATGGAGTCTGGTGTTATAGTGTGAACTAACCAGAATAACCCCGTCAAGGCTGGTCAAACGAGACTGAATTAGATTCAAACCCAAGGAGTGACTTCTAATAATAGGACCATAAAATGTAGTTTAGGTAGAGGTCACGTGGCAGGGAGCGGTTCGGCCCCAGGATTCGGAACAAAGCACTGTGGGCCTGGGCTCATCACTCGAACCAACCGTACGCTCCGTTAAGTGCCCCTTGCTTAGGCATTATGTGGATATGAACAATAAATCAACCACTAAAGTTAAACATTAGTTGTGACGCACTGGTGACAGTTTTGCCTGACGTCATGTTAAGCTCGTGAAAAAATGTGCATGAAAAACAAAAAAAACAACAAATGATGTGCTGCTCTTTCCATAGAATCACACACAAGGCTTTAATGTAAGAGAGGCAAACAGATCGCTGGGGGGATGAAGGTGTTCCTGAAGCCGGACTTCCATGTCACCGTAGAACGTTTGCTCGTGTCTTCAAAGAAGGTGTTTTCCAATGCATACCTGACTAACATCAAACTCCAGGACAAAACACACTGAGAATACTCATTGATGGCTGGATTTTAGTTTACTTATCGGTACCTACTTATTAAGGCGGCTCTCCGCAGAGCGACCAATTTTACCGGGAATAGGCGTTCTAGGGAGAGTATATAGTATAGAATATAGTATAACGATTGTTTGTTATTAAATGAAAAATGGCATAAATAACAGTGGAGTCGTGAAGTCTGATGATTAGGAAGTCAAACTGACGACGAAAAATTCGCACTCAAAGCATAGGAAAGAGAACTATGTAGCACGGCTTCTAGCGATGAAATAGTGCCTTTGCCTTGAGAGGTATGACCACCCAGCCTCAGGGCGAGACTGATCAGCAAGGACTACCTAAATTCAGGGACAGAATAACCGGAATTTTTGAGAGCAAAGTCCAAGCCACATCGGTCATCACAAACAAGTAGCCTGACTGAGCAGGGAAACCACGACTAGTTGGAATCGGTTGGTTGAGGCTGAGGTCAAGATGCGGCCAAAGTTTCCTCTATAGGTAGCAAAAATAGTATTGGATGTTATTATCGGAGTTGAACAGAACCGGCGAATTGAATCATGGGCTAGAGCTATCAAAATCCGCTGTGAAAAAGTAAGTTCGTTGCTGTTAAACACAATAAAGAACCATGCCACATGCATATTTTATTCGGCGCTTGAACTGTTCAGCTTGATAACTCGTTCTACACATAATGAGATCGGATGCATGAATCGGTGCTTCAATCTAAGACCAATACTGTTATTGCCGAAAGCAACACGCATTCCGACTGGCGGCATAAATGCTAAATACGTATACAGTAAAAAGGCAGTACGAATGTTCTTAATAGCTAGGTGCAAAAACAGGAGACGCTTACCATAGGATTAGAGCCCCCAGTGACTGTCGTGTGAGTCGGAAGCCCTCTGGAGTTACTGGTGTTACTTGCGGGCATCCGTTGAAAGTGTGCTGCGTGCGCCTGCTGATGCTGATGGAGGCCAGGCCAGACTGCTGCACCAGTGCAGGCGGGACCAATACGTCGTGGCATGGGAATAAGGTAATCAAGTGACAGGGCTTTGCTACCCACAATTGAGTAGCTTGTGGGAGGATGGTGCTGGTGCGGATGTTGCAGATGCGTGGGATGTCGATGATGAGGATTCTGACAGGGAGGCAAATTGGATATCGTGTTGGGTAACAGGACTGTTCCTTGTGAGTTCTGGCAGTAATACTGATTGGGCCTGTGTGACGGTCCAGAGGGATGATGTTGGTACTGTAGCTGACCAAGCCCGATCCCTGCATGGGGTCCGGAGGCTGGGGCAGCGAATACACAGGTGTTTGTGGGTAACGTGAACGAAGGGATGCGGTGTTGTGAGCGCTTACGACATTCACTTAAGGCACGTAGCTTGCTCGCATCCTCAACAGAATGGGCACCCAGAAATGGACGAGCGAGGGGCGTTGGAGATGTTACCGTCACACTGGTGGATGTGCAGGGCACAGAAGTGGTAGGCGAGGTAGAAGACATAGATTTTTCGGCTACCGGAGGACACGTAGACGTTGTGGATGCACAGGTTTTGGAAGGGGATTTTGTGGCTATAATGAGTGAGAGAAGATGACCGATTTCAGGCGAACTGGGAAACGCATAGTAAATGTATTTATACCAGTGAAAGACAAGGGCTAAAGCAAACAGCAGGGAAACTAATAAAGCAGATAATTACTCTACCGAGCGATGAATTAACTCACTACAAGCGGAAGCTGTTGCGGGGGTGGAACCGAGCGATTCAGTGGACCAACTGACGACAGCTCCTACGTTGCTATTGTTGTTACTACCGTTCGCGGTGGTAGCGGTTGGTTGAGCACTTGCTTTCGTCTCCCTTGAGCCCGGCTCAAGACGAACGGAGAGCTGACTAAGCGATTCCGAATCTTGATTGACAACCAAGTTGGCCAGATAGGTTCGAATCCGTAATGTGGTGAGCCAGGATTCGTAAAGTTTCTTCGTGTTGACCGATGGAGAAGTTGTGGCTGAAGAGCCGAAAGTGAATGCAGTGGATCGACGACGACCAGCGAACGAGGTGACTGAACCAGGCAGGCCCAACAGTGGACTACCGCCGGCTGTTGCGGCTACGTTCAAAATGACGCTTCCAAAAGAGGTAGCCTGGGATGTTGCCCGCTTCGTTGTGCCTATTGAATGAGAATTGGTTAAAAAGTAAGTAGGTAAGATTTGAACAAAGTCTTTGCACTGACTTTCAGCTTTATTCGTTACGTTGGGTCGCAGATGCTTCATCACAAAATAAGAAGGTATCGTCCGTGCATGAATTGAAGTGACCGGTTATCAAAATCACCATCACCGCCAGTCTTGCCTTGTTAGGGTTAGTCGAGTATCCAAACCACCAGAGTAACAGTCATAAGTACACAAGTTGCATCTGCCAAATACAAAGAATAAGATTGTAGTAATCTAAGAAATAAACAAGGACCCAGGCGATGTCGCGACGAGGTCAGAACGACCCGGAAACGCAGTTAGAAATTTCTTCCGAGCGATGAAAATAGCTAACCAGGAAAACAGTGATTCCTAGTGACGGAAATGTGTCAGAGCTGAGAAAAGTGATTGAAACCAGCGTGAAACCGCCGTGACAGTGTAGAAAGCGTTCAAAACAACGTTATATAAAATAAAATGGAGGAGTTGTCCATGTAGGACCTCAGATTCAACGTCATTTATCATTGACTACTGATAGGATTCATGGATGGAACTACATGAGCAAGACGACCAAGATTCGATACAACAGGCACCTTCAAATGAACTAGTCTTCCCTCCTGTTTCAGAAACAAGGACTTAAAAGCTTGCGGTTTGATATAAGCGGAACAGACTTATTACTAGGATGATACACGGCAGACGCTCTGTGTTGGTTCTCAGCCTGCGGAATGAATGAATTAGCGATTTCAGTCTCCAATGTGCGCAACGATAGATTGGTTCAATTTCTGTTGTTTCGAATAAGACACTGCAGCATTTCATATATCTCCCCTACCCAAAAACAAGCTCCAGTTTGTGAAATGTAAGTGTCGCAGATGGCCTAGTCACAGTCCTGAGTCCAATCCGTTTGAGAACTTGTAGAGCATGGTAACACACCGTGCACAACGGCTCGAAAGTCGATGATTCCCAAACCAACTTGATGACTGCATCAAAACGGGAACCGACAGGTATTGAGATATCCATCCACAATGCACCAAAAAACTAGGAAGCTAGGACAAATGTCACATATCCTGGTGAAGGCAACCAAACTGCCGTGTACAGTACTGTGACGCATTATGGTTACGAATAAGACGTTGCAAACACATGACATGTCATGAAGAAGACAAAGTGTGGGGGAGTTATTCCAGCCTAAATGATGTAAGACAGCCATGACACTAATCATTAACGAAGGAATACAGCCTGGTGGATTGAGCGGGCGAATGAGTCCAGTAATCCAGGTGATATAATTGCGCCGATTCGTATTGTACTACCCTGCCGCCTAGCCCATTCATGATAGCATACTAGACTGTTTCACAGAGATTCTGAGGAGGATTGGACGGAACATATCACTCTGGTTTCTCTAAACTAGATGTATAGATATGATCCTACGTGCTGGTCACGGTCAAGCTCTATTTTTATGTGTTCAAAGATAGGAGCAGATATTTAGTGAAAAAAGTAGGTGGACTCACGATTCTATCAAGGAATGCGGTGTAGAAAACCACCAAATTCACACGCACGGAGTGTCAACAGAAATCGTGTATCTGATTTCACGAATCTATTCTGCAGTGAGCACTTACCGAGCGACAAACTGGGTGCACGTGACCCAACACTTCTGCCAGAAGAGGACTGTTGATCTTCGCTTGTTTCGCTATTCCGTTTCGTGTCTTCACCAAATGAGTTATGCTCCAGCCCATTTGTGGCAAACGAATTAGCCTTTGGAGGCAATGTTGTGGATTTTGATGCACTCGTCCAAGCACGAGCCCGACTGCCAACCGGGAAACGACGGAGTAGACGATGGGCAGCGTCTATGTCATATTCCACATTGCACATGCGACAAATGGCTCGGATCTGGAACGTGAAATTAACTGTGCGAATCACCCAGTAACATGGAGAACGGGGTTGGATGGAAAAGGGACAGCTCAGGTCCAACTGTAATGGATGGAGGGCCTTACATGGTAAGCAGATGGGAGGGGGGTGGGCGTGGCTGTGGAGAGTCGCTGGACCGTGCCGGGCAGTCTTTCAAAAAAGTACACTATAATTAGTACGCTAGCAGAGCATAACATATGTACGGATCACTATTGGAGTTGAAAAGGATCTCACATGTAATAAAGGGCGGCTGGACTGGATTTAAAAACGGAACGATAACTCACCTCTTTGGCAAGCATACGCAATTTGACAAAATTGATGAGCCCATCTGAAGTGCGCGACGGATTACCCAAGTGTATAAAAGTTAGGTCTTTGAGAACCAGGGGTAAGTAGGGAAGCATCGGAGCTGCAGCCTCCGTGCCTGTCAGCATATTACGATACTGGAAAAAGTTTCGGGAGGTGTCCAAAACCATCTGAACGTTGGGGTGGAATAGAAGAGAGAGAAGCTGTTTGAAAGGCGGGCAAGTACAATACAAGGAACATTAAAATAAGGGGCACAACTGCAGCGGACAGCCTGGTGTGCATGGGCAGATTTTTAGCTTTTCCGAACTACTAGCTACTCATGAGTAGCTCAAAATCCATAAGCTGCCACAGAGATTTGGTGGCAATTTCCAACCTCTTGCCTAACAGTTTTCCATGACCATATTATTAGGGTGTCATTTACTGCTTTGAAAACTAACCATATTCTTAGGTGCGTCCACCACGATGGTCAACGTACATTCCCTAGTTTCATATATACCACGGGTCGATAACGTGACCTGTACTGACTGGCAGCTTCCAAACATTGAGTCGAAGAAAATCACGTCCAACAAAACCGCAGGAATAGATTGCCTGAAGGATCCAACAAAATCGATAAGATGTAGGACAACCAAAATAAGAATATCAGTGATTGAAGCTTAACTCATGGGTGGTCAAAGATCACGAGAGTCACAAGAATCCATCACTTGATGAACTGGTAGCATGAGAGCTGCTGCCCACACGAATCCTCTTCGAATGCAAAGTTCAGGCTGGTGAATTCTTAGAGTAATGTTGTCTCAAGCAGCCATGATAAAGGAAATTGTATATACACTGAAGCTGTCGCGGTAATCATGCGATGCCTCGTATTCAGTTAATAGGCCGTTGTACATTTTGGAAACCAGTTAGGTGCTCAGGTATTCATTTCGACAGATATCTCGTTTTTTCGGTTCATAAACAGAGATGTCAAGAAGATACACCTCATTCGATATGGACGGTTCTAGATTATTCAAAGCATTGAGGAGCCGGAAGAAAACATGTGGCGTGAGAAAAATCTAACAATCACACACATAAGGACTGTTGGTGATCCTCCATCAGAGATACATGGTTTATTTTATTCACGCTGGAAAGGGCAAAACAAAGACTACCGCGTAGCTGTAAGCTGAGACATCAAACTTAGATAAACAGCTCCACACGGACTAGGCTTTCCTCCACCTAACTCAGTAAGGGTAAACGAGCTTTTGGCGAAACATGCCTTTACGAATTAATTTAGTATTAACACCCTTTCGGTTCCTAGCTGTCATGCCACCCGAAGGTTGCACGAGGGCTGGGATACTGCCAGGTTGCCTAAGCCCAGACAGGGGAAGTCGAGAGGCGGAGATCGGGTTCGAACCACGGATCTGCCGGTCAGCAAATTCGCACTCTAACCACTGAGCCATCTCGCCCACAGTCTCTCGTTAACACCAAGTTGATTTGCAAACGAGTGTAATTCGTTACTTGCACAAAATCTAGTGTTCACATAGATTGCCGGAAACTAGGGAACTGCGACTACCCGATGAGTCCCAAGGGCGAAACCAGTTGTGGAAGGAATTACAACAGCCTTGTAAGTAGTGCATTTTACAAACGAAAGTAAACGAGTTCTTGTTAAATACTTAGCATGTTGGTGGGTCCATTAAAATGTCCGTGATTTCATTTCAGTATCATTCAGAAACAGGGACCATCAATATAGACGGATTTTTCAAATACTGGCTACTGATTTCGGGGAAGTACTGATTGACTCCGTTTTCCAGCGTAGCGAAAAATCGATTTTATTATTCACATTACAGTAATCTTCCCAAGGAGGCCCTGTAGAGTTTACAATTTTGATTGATTTTAATCCCACGTGATCTGTAGAACAATCCCATGGTGGCTTTGAACGATGGAAGTTCAAGATGTGTCATTGGCTTCTGAGCTCTTCAAACGGTTACTAGACCAATGTAACTTCAAGTTCAGAGTCCTATTTTTACTATTTCTGAACGGCTGAGCTTGAACTCAAATTGCAAGGGACAACATTAGGCTAGACTCCCTCTCTTCTAACAGATGGTTTGATAGACAAATACATCGCACAAAGTCCTGTCTGAGTGACAGAATACCGGCATATTCACATCACAAGAGCGTTTAACAATAAAAAGCGAAACATAGAATACAAAAATGCAGTTAAGTCTGGAATTCTGTCCTGACGGTTTTGGGGGTTAGTGAGGAAACGAGCTACAAACGAAATAAGTGGATTCTTGGAGAGGATGTGCGGGCACGCAAGTGTCTCAAGTTATTCCTAGAACGGTCACAAGACCAGGTTGCTTCGAGATCTGAGGGAGAGGAAAAGACGCGTCACTGAGTGGTTGAGCAGAATTATGAACAAGCAGAAGAGAAGGCGATAGTTAAGTGTGGGAATGGGAATAAGGCCCCAACTTGGAGGAATTGAGCTGTAATTTTATTTGCGAGTATAGTAGACCAGATATGAAAGTCTCAAGATGATCAGTATCGGTTGGCACGGGAATAGCGAAACAAAAACAGTAATCAGAATATTTCAAAACGTCCAGCTAGGTGGACGGTCCCGATGGCATCTGCACAACGCGTACAAAGAACAGGAGTTAAAACTGTATCTTGAAAAACACTAATATTACTGGGAACAGACAGAGAGTACTGCTGTTCAACTTTCATGCACTATTGTGCACCGATAAATAACCAAACACCCAAATGAGGAAGCAGAAGACTCAGTAGAGTGAAGAAATACCGAAGAGGTGCAAAGAAAAAAATGCTCAGTTTTATTTAGCTTTATTGAAAAAAGCAATGAAGCGAACAACAACAAGTACTCTACCAGAACCAAATTAGTTTGCAGATGGGTGTATATTCGCTAATTTCGTGCAATTTGGTTTCAAGTAGAACATAAGGTTGACGGAAA